GCATTTGCGTTGGTTAGAAGTTCACCTTAAATGATATTCGAGCCGGACAATAATAGGCTATTCTTTTTTTTAAGAATAAATATACAAAGAATCAGAATTATGATGTATTCACACCCATCGTTCTATCTACCGCGCGATTATCCTAAATTCCTTTCACTACTTTTTTATGATTCCGTCCCACATGTTTGCTTAAACCGTACACATATATTTGGTCTGCTGCAGTTTGCATACAGACAGCATATAATTACAGAACAAGACTTTTCATCAAGGCAAATACACACAAAAAACACGTGGTGGTCGTTTCGATTTCCTGACACGGAGTTTGCTACTATCTCGGTGACAAGCTCATCAGTAAATCCCTGGATGCCACGTGTTATCAATTTCAAAAAATGTAATTTGTTGCGTGAGCTGGAGGTGGACGAGAATTAATTCAGAGTCTAGGCGAGATTGCAGCCGCAATTGTCCATAACAAAGGCTCGAGTGGCCCCCGGCGTGCCAGCATTAAGCAGAATACCGGCCACTGATTAGACAGTTTCCTGATAAAAGCTGAAGAAGGGAATGAAGGACAAAGCAATCACCCGGCCGAGAGAATTGTGACCAGCCTGACCAATGTAGGCTAGTAAAATAATAAGAGACTCTTTTAACACTTTAGCGTCCACCTGTATATATAAATGTTGCCCATAAAAATAGTTTTTTGGACGTGTATGAAGCTTATTAATCGAATTGGACAAATATTTCGCCTTTAATTTCCAATCTGCGCTATGACCAGGTGGACATATATGTAGCCTGTCAAATTTTTTCAACGAATAATTTTCAGCAATGAGAAATTTTGCACTCGCAAGAAAGTTGGTTGCTGAAGGGTTCAATGCCTTAACAACTGCATGTCTCTGACCTAAGTGCTTAATCTTGACCCTGAGGGACGGTGACTTGATAATCATCATGTATTGGTTATTTAGATGGGCCTGATGTCTGAAAGTACTATTTTCTGAAAGTAATTGCAAAGATTCGAAAGAAAAGAGAAATAATTGCAAAAATAATAATCGATTTAGTAAATCTAATTGGAAGGGAAAGGGCAGACGCCGAAATTTATGGATGTTCCATACTCTGTTATATGCATGGATCTCATTTATCATTGGGTGGAACTCATTTTTTACTTGCGTTTCCTATTTCCTGTGTACGATGCCTTGACAGAGGAAAAAATTTAGTTGGAAAGGCCTTTATATAGTTCTGCTAGGCAAAATGCGAAGATCGAATTACAAAGAGACCGAGGAAAATTTGGTAAATTTTGGAACCTGTTTCTGGCTATCATCGATGATTCAATAGTCACTTGTAAGCTTTGAGGTGATTTCATTTGCAACAATTGTGCGAAGTTGAGCAATGCAGAATGCTCAGTTATTCGTAGATAAGAGGCATTGCACTGGTATTGTCAGGACTGTCAGCAACCTGCACATATAGTGCAGTAAGAAGCGAAAAACTGGAGAAGTAAGAAGCGAAAAAAAGAAGGGCTCTTTCATGTTCTCAGCCTACGAGCCGAAATGGAATAGACTCACACGAAAGAGTTGAGCTTTTTTGGCGTAATGAATTAAGCTTATTATACGGACCGAAGTAGTAGTAATTAATGCACATTTTATGAAAAAAATAACGATAACACTGAGGTTTTGGGCCGCAATCGGTCGAATGCACACGTGAGATTTTGGGTAGGGATCAAAGAAAATGCAACCTCGTTTGGTTTGGGGTTTCAGAAAGCAGTGCTTCGGAGACAAGTGAGAAAGTTGCTGCTGACTCTGCGCCTATCATTATCGATGCATACATTGGCATGCAAGAGGCTACGAAACCGTAAACCACTGCCTTCAACGTAAACCGCTGCTGGCGACTGTGAATATTGAAAACACGGCCGAGTGAGGGACAAATGAGGCAATATCAAATAAATAACTGTTTATTAATTGACCGCCGCACGAAGTAACGCATCGAGTGCCGAGGATGGCAGCGGCCACCATCATACGCGCCTCCCGAGCTTCAGCACACTCGACCGCATTCGACTTGATAATAGAAGTTTGCACTGCGCAAAGGAAACAGGAATATTAGTTTTAATTAGAAACGTGAAGGATTATACGTAGTTTAACACGACGTCCTAGCTATTCGTATATATACCTTACAGGATAAGAGAGACGGATGAGAGCTAAAACGACTAAGGTAGTAAAGAATTAGTATAACACAATAGACACAGGACTTCCAATTTACAAATAGTTAATATAGGCACAAGTGGAGGTTCTACCCTCCATTGGAGGGACAAGGCATAATGAATAGCTTTACAGCTTACGCGAGCACTACGCGTCAGTTTTCGCAGCTCACCTCCGTGAATGCAGAACCAGTCAGTTCGGTGTCGTGGCCGGATGGTCCGCCGGCCAGTAGGCGCCGTGGCGCCAGTACTTCATGCCTTGCCGACGGGAAGTCTCTCCTGGTAGGGCCTAAGTCCCGGATGCATCAGCGACAGTACCAGAGTGGTCCGCCGTGACCTCTTCAGCGCCCGAATGGTAGCCACCGGCAAACCCCGATCGCTCCGCAGATCTCTACTGCTTCGTAGAGATCAGACTAAAATACAAAAAGTTGGTGGCCGATATCTTGACGTCGACCAAGGGAGAAGATGAAGAGACGATTAATCCTGTGTGCTGACTGTGTAAACGTTAGAGTGGAACTGCTTGCTGGGAGTCCCAGCCTGGGACGCGGAATAGGGAGAGGGCGCAGCAGTAGAACACAAATTTTACTCATAAATAAGCTCTGGAGCCAACGCCTAGCTGCATCATGCATTAACTTTACTCAGCCTCAGAACTCGAAGCCGCAAACTACGCTTGAACTCCGTAATCCAGACAAGCAACACACTGCTGAAAGATAATAGCGCCGTAGGTCTTCAGCCAATGCTTGAGAATGCTCGCTCATAAGCAGGTAGTTCCCCATTCGGCTGTACCTATACCGGCCTAACCACTTTTGGCCTAACCTATTCCCGTTGTCCCGGCTCACAACCTTTTTGCAGCCAATGACTGGCTCTATCAGCACACTTGGACCGCCTTTCTAACTTCTTGCAGCCAATGCGGTTAAGTTAGGTCCGCTCAGATTTGTTTTAGCGGATAAAGGTTGCAGCTCGTATAGGTTAGGCCTGAAAAGGTTAGGCCAGAGGAGGTTTGGCCAATGCAGTATGGCCATGTTTACCTTTGGCAAGCTTATTTTGTGGCTGTGGACATCCAGCGCTATGGCTTTGAGCACTTGATTTCATAGGCCGTTATGCACTCTAGCGTTCTTACCAATGGAAAGGAATATGAACCTAAGTGTGAAGTTTGGCAAAGCTGGCCTCCGGCATGCGCCCCGAATAGGGATAGGGATGTGTTGTCTTCTAAGTCGTTATACAAGAAATAAGGATGGCTCAGCTGCTAAACTGCTGCGTGTGCTCGAAATTATATAAAAAAATTAAAGCTTTATTTAATAAAGAAATTCAATCAGAATTATTAAACTGGAAGTCCGGTGACAAATGGTTTAGGGAGTTAATTCTATACATCGCCGAGTTACCAGAACTAAGTGAAAGTAGGAAGATACCTTAAGTTTTCTACAGTGAAGGATATTTGGTACAAGGCATATTAAATATCATCCAGTATCTCGTTATTCCTTGAAATTTCTGATTAAGTAGAAATTTACTCAATCGCCTCAGCATGAGATGTCTTGGAACTACTTTACCGTAGATTGAGTGAAAGTTCCTGCGAATCATAGTTTTGTAATCGTGAATTGCGATCATCGCCATCTGGTGAATTTGAGCGCCTTTCCCATGCACATCGACGAGGCGATATGCAAACCAACGTCATGCATCCTAACGTGGCTTCATCATAAGAGCTTCCGTGACGTGGTCTCACCATAAGAGCTTCAGTGACGTGGTCTCATTATATTGCCGCAAAGACGTGGTCTCATCATATGAGCTTCAGTGACATGTTCTTATCATAAAAGCTGCAGTGACGTGGTGTATTCATAAGATCTTCAGTGATGTGTTCTCATCATAAAAGCTGCAGTGACGTTGTCTCGTCATTGGAGTTGCAATGCGTGGTCACCCTTTATCCTGTCTCTTATACACATCTAGATGTGTATAAGAGACAGCTGCTGNTCGGACCAGCATATGCTTCAGTTTCAATTAAAATTTTGTTTTAAAATAATTTTCTACTTTTTGAAATAATTTATCTGATCGATAAAAACAAAGTTTGTGCGCCAAACATAGCTATGTTTTTGTAATCTCAATCGTAAAATTGAAAAGTTTTTCAATATTCATACAGCGCTTAGTTGTTAAAAATAGTAGTATGTAAGTCGAGCCTTTTATGCTGAAAATATGCACTTTTAAGATTATTCCATTAGGGGTGACTTCTGACGGATGTCTGTGCTTGTCAGAAGTCCTATGGGATTTCGCGCTCCTAGGGGTATTATCCCTGAGAGCTCCACCGCTGATATCGCGGTGTCTGACAGTTGGTCTCAGTTGCGGGGTCAAGTTATTAAGTAGGTAGGACTCCTTACATATTCCTTCTCTGTCTCTCTCGTGCGGACGGCCGACGTCCTGTGCAAGCGACCTCTTGTTCGAGTATCTTCGTTTCTGTTGCTTTTCATCTGTCCCGCCTTGTCACTTCGTCTCTTTGAGATGCTCACGCTGCTTCTTTCGAGCCAGCTTCAGCGGGTTGGATATTTGAGATCTTTCGCCCCTTGTGAGCTATGATAAATTTTAGTCTTTGAATGATTGAGACCTTCCGCCTTGCTGACGTTGTTATCTTTTGACCTCCGGTGCGAAATAGCCTGATAGCTGACGCGCTAGCAATCCGTTCTTCTACTACTACACTCAATTGATCTATCAGCGCATTTTACAGGCAATCATTTGATCGTTAAGATATAATTATGCCCACTCAATTCATCATCCCAGCTAAACCAATCGATTAAATGGATTTGTTTATGTATATGAACTAAATCGATAATTTCAGCGCATGCACTGAATTGCCCTGAGAATTACGATGACATCGGGAGCGGCTGCGTGCTCGCCCCCACCGAGTGGTTGACCGCGCTCGAGGCCCAGGTTCAGTGCCGCGAATTGCACGGGGAACTCGCCACCCTCGACCGCTGCGACTTTTTCACGGACGCTGTGCACTACCTTGAAGAAACAGGTGAAGATAAGCTTTAATTGAAAATGGTTCGAGGGTTCAATGTACGTTAAAGGGTTTAGTGTATGTTACTATGGAATAACCTCCGTTATATCTTCGACTTTGTACCATGTGATTCCCAAAGTTGCATTGCGCGATTTTCCTCTTTCCTAAGTATCAATTCCACCAATAAATTCAATATTTCCCACAATGCTCTCAATCATGTAATAATTTATTAAATTTGTTTAATAATAATCTTTGAACCTAAGGTACCAAATAACATTTCTTTTGATCTCTGTAGGCGAAGGTTTCATTGCATATCACCATTTCTCGCGGTATAGAGTATGAACCATACCGTAGCATATCCTAAATAAGAACTGTTTTCTGATAGAATTTGTTTTGCAACCGATGCAGGCGGGATGAACGATAGTTTCTGGATCGGTGGAAGGTACTCAGTGACCCGCGATGAATGGCATTGGAGGGACGGTTCTGTTATAGCCATGGGGGCACCCTTCTGGGGAACGGTGAGTAGATTGCATTAGATTATGATAATGCAAGTTCAACATTGGTTCATAAAATTATGTTTTACCTACAGTTGTTTAAATATACGCTTCTAGACTGATTAGAGTTGGTCTGATCAACTTTGATCTATAGATAAGAAATGGTACGTATTTGCATACTTAATATAGTCGGCTAACCGTTGACCTGGGATTGGTCGATGTTGCGTAATTTCATCAAAATTGACTAGCAGGATTACGGAATACGTCAGTAACAAAACATCTTCTTTTTTGTTAACAGGCTGGCGGAGGCACGTGGGAGCCTTGGGGAGGTCAGTGCACTGGGATTTTCTATGGAGATAATCCCTACATGGGGGCGTATGATTGCTCATGGGAGTTTCATCACATCTGTGAAGGGCCACCAACAGCAGGTGAGAGGCTATATATTAAAGGAAATATATGGAAAAGAGAGGAAATATATTAAATTATCTATTTATTCGATGAGCTTACATCGAAATGAAAAAAAATATAAAAAACCGTGCCCATATGATAGAGATATGGAAAAATTTTGTGTTCAATATAAATTAATATTATTTACCCTAAATCTGCATTTTAGACCAGCAGCTTTAAGATCTTAATATTTAAATTATGAAAATTAAATGACTTTCATGCTCTTCCAGAGGGCCATTGCAACCTCCCTTACACGGCGGTAGGAAGTCAGTGCCTGAGCTTTGAAAGCTCAGCCAGGCAGTCATGGGAGGCGTCGAGAAATATCTGCCAGGAGGATGGTGGCGATCTGGTCACATTCGATAACTGCGAGCAGTTCGGAGTAGTGGCTAATTACATCCTCGAACAAGGTTAATAAGCGTTCAATATCCGATCGACCAAGCAGATAAATTCAGCTGATATATTAGTGGCCATGGAAGATGTCTCTGGACATTATTGGTCAAATGCTCTCGCTGTAGTTTCCAGAGTAAAGGTTCACAACTCGTTCTATGGTATCTAACTATCTATAGTCGGTTTACAAAAGATAACATCCAAAGTGAAGCTATTGTTTCAAAAAGCATGGTGTATGCTAACATAATCGAACAATATATTTCTTCTCAGGACTAGAATGTTTCTTTATATTTCGGTAAGGGAAACTACAGTATCCAAATTCGATTAAACCAATGTAGAAAATGAGGTTAACTTGCTTTTTAGTTGGGGCATTATTTTGAAACTGGCAACTAACATTGAATAATAAAATCATTATTCAGGCACAAACAAAAAATATGAATAATAAAAAAATATCAATACAAATGCAACAATAAAATTCCTCTCAATTAGACGCTTCGCTAATTCCTACATATTAACCAGAAACATGAACAAAAATCAAACAACTTTGCCAGATTTGCAGCACATTACCAACTACTGGGTCGGTGGCTACCTTGAAACCTGGTACACGGAGGACTGGTTTTGGGTCGACAATTCCTCGATTCCAATGGGACTTCCTTATTGGGGTCAGGTAAGATGGCTAATCAAAATTATCCTGCAAATTATGACGAAAAAGAAGAAAAATGTCATAGGCCCTCTGAGATCTTCCATAAAAATACATCAAATTAAGATTTACGTACTCAACCATGAACCGGGGTACAACCATTCTGCTTTCATTAATGAATAACGATCAAATTACCCATAATTTCGTGAATTTCCTGTTATACTCAATCAATACGACGCCATTAGTAACCATTACGACGATTCTGCCCTAACAGATGGGAGGCTCTGTCTTTACCTATTTCTTTAAAAAGGCGGATGACGAAATATTATTTCTCGTTTATCAATATGCCCGTCAAATTGACTGATATTATTCACTTGACTAGTACTACCCCGGAAAATTGCTCCCCGACAACTCAGCAGCCGAGCGGTGTCTGGAACTCGGTTATGAATGTCGGCATCGGTTCAACGACCGTGACTGCCTGGACTTCCGCCGGCCGCTCTGCATGGCATCTCCAGTTGAATGACAACTTAGTGGCATGAATCACATTTTCATAGCACAATCAGTTTTCAAGGTAAAACCTTTCGGAGAATGCCATACCGAATACCAGAGAATACCAATACCATAATATTTGAACATGTTATCTCGAGACCGCGGGTGAAGGTAAGAAAAAATTAACACGGAACCGCTCATCTTTGCTTTCGATATAATGCTGACATTAAATTAATACTATATGAAAGCAGGTAATTCAAATTTAATTACATGCCCAAAGTTGAAAATTTCTACAGCAGCCAAAATCTTGAACACACAAATGCGTGATCATGATGAATGTCGCCTGCCGACGAGAACTTGAGAAGTACCTATTGCAACGAACTGATCAAATAACAACTGATTTAGAGCATATTCCGCATGAAATCTTCTCTTATTGTCGAAAAAAGAACTTGCATCGTATGATTGCTGCGTTTTGAAAGAAGTGATGGTGAAAGATGCACCATACAACTACATCTTATCAATAAAATACTCGTGGGAAAAACTTAACAAATTTTATTATGACAAATACGTCATAATTTAAGGAAATTGTTTAAAGCTCTCTGAATGAGACAAAACTATAATAGTACCTTTTCGATAAGCATTGAGCAATGAGCACTCTTCACTAGGTACTGATCGAGTCACGGTTCGATCTAAACTGGCGCCTTTGCTGCAACGATTAATGCTCTGTCAGGATGGGGGGTGCGGGAGGTAGACCCCATGCACATACCCGCATACCCCCGTATGGCGGGAACTTCTATTGTTCGTGCGTTTACCTTGTTCAGACTCTGACCAGCCCCATCATGCGGTAGCGTCATCAGCGTTTGACCAGGGGCATCGTGACGAAGCTTGACCAGCTGCTCTTTTTAATCATATTACGCAGATTTGGCCTACCGGGCAATTAACCTCCAAAAGAGGCTGGTAAATAGAAGCAAAACACCCTACGTGGCCGACTTGCTCCTAATTCACCCCTAATCCGAATATAGTTCCTCTAAAACGACCTTAATCGGCACGAAAATTTTGACAGGGATTATGGGGCTGGTCAGAGACTAAACAGGGTAAACGCACGAACCATGACCCTCTCCCGTACTACAAATGGCATCGATGAACGTACACGCGTACGTTTGCTATGTAATACGACGGAACGAAAGGAGAGTTGACTCTAACTTGACATATAGCATGGTGAATTTAGTCTATGATGAACAAACCCATGCACCTACTGTTCAAGACGTCTATTTTTAACCTGACACTTCTGCATATTACACCAACTTCTGATCACATAAGTCACATCATCGAATGTAAAGAATAAATTGTTACAGATACTCAAGCAAATTAGGAAATTTATAACCATTTCTACTCCATGAATATGATGAATAACACAGAAAAAAACGCAAATCAATTCTCTTTCACCCAATCTATTGACTTCAGTGAATTTTTGCAGAGATTCCCCGAGGTCGCTTAATACACCGGAATTAATGTTGCAGGAGTTATTAACTAGAAGATTTAATCAATTCGATGAATGTAAGAAACAAAGGTGAATTTGCATTACGTGTTCTCACACATGTGTGCGCAGCATGTGCTCCAATACGCAAACCATATTCTACTCGATAATTGAACATGCAATAACGCTCAAGGTCCAACTGGAAAGGTTTAAATGCTTCTTTGATTCAAGTGCTTTCAGTCTTACTGCTTGCAAGTTCCCACCATGCGGGGGTATGCGGGGTTCTACCTCCCGCACCCCCCTACAGGCAGAGCATTAGCCGTTGCAGCAATAGAATAGAAAGGCGCCAGTTTGAAACTAACAGTGATGCAGCACGTAGTGAAGAGTGATCAATGCTTATCAAAAAGCTTGAATAGTTTTGTCTCCTTCAGAGAGAATTAAACAATTGGATTGTAAAGACCATTGCACTTGTAGACATTGAACAGGATGAAAATTAATATTTTGAGTGCTTGTGGAAGTGTTTCCTTGATTTCGAATTGTCCGGAAATCACTGTCTTAAGCCCACAAAATAATTATGGCTCCAACAATAAAAAATATTCACCTTTGAGCATATGTCTGCTAGAGCGGCTATAGAAGTAGCTCTGGCAGATACGTATACTTTAGGCTGAAATTTCTAAGCATCCCTAGGGTCGACAGCTTGATTATAGAAGATTGCATAAGAACGTTCGTAATTTTCGGGAGCCACTGAAGACTAGTCCAGTGCGGTACAAGAACGTTCTCGCTGCCTTAGCCGTCATGTCGGTGTGAACTATCGCGTAGTACAAGGAGGCAGGGAGGACGTGTTTAAACGGGATCCCAATTATGAGCAACTTAGTTGATTTCACATTACTATTTCACATAACTATCGTATATTCCGCCATAATTTTGGTTATCAATCCAGGAATTTAGAGTGCAGTTGATAATTTGAAAGCGCGAAACGAATTTCATTTTAGAGCTCAACTCTTCCAATGCAAAAAAAAATTCGTTGACAACTATGAAGTGTTATCGGGTGGCTGCTTATAACAATCAAGCTACTGCGGTAACTTGACTTTGCTAAGATTAACACTCAAATTTCTATTGTGTTGTCTTCCTTAAATTATGAAGTATTTGACTGGAACATTTAATTGTTAAGGAAAATTTGTTAGTTTTGCCTTCAAGTATTTCTTATGAAGTAGTTGTATGGTGGATCTTTCACCATCAATTCTTTGAGAACACAGCAATTGTACGATGCAAGTTCTTCTTTCGACGACAACAATAGAAGATTTCAGCTTGAGGAATATGTTCTGAATCATTTGTTATTTGATCAGCTTACGGACGTATCCCTCAGGTTCTAATCTTTAATCCAGCGTTCCAACTAGATAAATTCGTGGAACAGAAGATTGTGAATTTAGAGAATCGATTTGAGTTTCTTGGTTAGGCCAGGCTGTCGTCGTCGAATGGCTCACAAGTTTAACGCGTTACATGACATGACTTCAAGGCCTCATTGTAAGTAAATGTATTCCTCGGATTCAATTACAGTAGTGCTGCATAATGTTCCGTAGTGTCATTCGGTTAGTTACTGCAGTCGAGCATCATTTTTAATTTGTTCTTTGTTTATTGTTAATTTTCAAAAGATTGTTTCTGGAAATTCTTTATTCCCGTTTCAAAAATATTATATACATATATTATTCCAGTTTCAAACTCGTGTTTACTTGCCACTTGCTTCATTGTGTCGAGATGATACATGTCTAGTCTGCTCATATACATATATAGCGTACATCGATTTAAATGCCCCCTCCCTTCCCTCCATAAAGTAGGGAAGGGAGGGGTATTTTTTAACGCATATTTCAGATTCGGCCGTGTCTGTCCCGAGCGTATCAGGTACCAAATACGCGCGCCCCAAGGTTATCAAGGAATAGGCCGAATCCTAATCAGGTTCTTATTTCCCTCGTACAACCAGAACCCAAAGCGGATATAGAGCCGCTGATTTACACCACTAGGCGAGCTTGGGGCGTCCTTGAGCCAGCGGCTGACAGGAATCAAAACTTAGTTAGGGTATGAACGAGGTTACCGCAGAGGTTAGTTGAAGCTCAAGAGTCTAGATGAAAAATAATATGTCTTCTAACCTCTAACTTCTAATAAAACCATATATTAAACCACGTTCCCTAACATTGTTGATACTTTACTTCACGAGCCGCGTTGGACGCCTATAATTTATATGAGCTTGCTTGTCGCTCATCCAAGTGACATTTATGGCTTGACTCTATGTTTCGCAATTATTTATTTCTAATGATAGAAAATTTGGATGAAAAATTTCTTACATAAAACCAGGTAGCTAAATCTTCAACGTTATATTTCCAGCATTGTTCTCTAAACAGTATTGTTTCTACCAACGAACACCGGTCTCTTCAATTTTAAATTAATTTAAAAATTACATTTTTGTACCATGTAGCGTGCTGCAACATTTACGAATTATGGCGTAATCATTATTCGTATTGAATTTACATGACAATTTACTTTTACTTACCAAACAATGTTATCATAAAGACAAACACATATATAAATCTGACAAGGTATTTACAAAGCGGAACAAATTTGAAACTTGCCGCGTATTTTGCTAATAAATAAATTCATCAACTGAACGGAACAGTGACTAATGAACTTATGAATAATCGTGTAATATATCAGTGCTCATGATCATAATAAAATCACAACCATTTACAAGATTGATTTATGTCATATTAATGTCATATAGGCTGTTGATCCATTTCAAAGCTCATGCTCAGAAGGGTTGCTAAAACATGTATGAATATTATACAGTATTTAGTCAGTGGTGTCAGTATTTAAAATTGGACTATGTTTGGTGTGGCGAAGATTCTAGACATCTAAGAAATTTTACAGCCAGCTAAAGTTATAGAACCTACAACTCATTGCCACTATCTTGCTACACCATAAGCACCCGGCGACCTTGCCGATTTCGTCTAGAAATTTTTCTGTGAGCGTGGGCTTGTCCTGCATCTCGCCTCTTCAATCTCAGCTAATTTAACATTTAACCTATTGGCCATCATCACGAACGTAAAATTTTTTATTTACTTTGACCGTTGAAAAACGTCCCACTTCAAATGGAAGGAATGTACAAGAAAGGCTTCAATCTCTTTCATAATCATTAAATCTTCTCTAATAATTGCAGGAAGCACATAAGCTCTTTTTAAGAGAGCTGAGGATCTAAAGGAGAGTAATTGAGACTGAGAGATGTGTTACAAAAATCTGCTTCCTTACGCACAACTGATCTTGAACACATTTGAACTTATCAGCGATCTGCGCAGATACACGTGATCAAACTTTTAATGACTGCATCTTAAGAATGTACTGTGCAGAAATTCAACCTTTGGAGAATACAATGTTTTCGTCCCTACTGATGTCTGCCAGTCTCATTCTAAATGTAAATTGAAAAACGTGCTGCAGAAAGGACTAAACCCAGTTAAAATTTAGGGCAGGGAATAGAGCAGGCCGTCGCCGGCTGCAGAGCCGGCGTAGAGACGCGACAGAGCAGCGATAGAGCAGAAATGTCTGGTACTCCTGAGCCCGAATGGCGGGAGTAATGCGACACACTCGAACTGGTGAACGCGGGTCGCCTGCTGAAGACCACCACTGCCCTGGATGTAATGGACCATCATGATTCCTGCCTTCCGGAACGTAGCCTTCAGCAATTCAAGCCGTCCGTATCTAGGCCGAGGTCAGAACGATGCCCGGAAGTCAGATTCGATC